CTCTGTTTGTGTGTGTGTGTGTGTGTGTGTGTGTGTGTGTGTGTGTGTGTGTGTGTGTGTGTCTGTGTGTGTGTGCGTGTGTGTGTCTGTGTGTGTGTCTGTGTGTGTGTGTGTGTGTTTGTGTGTGTGTTTAAAATTGCACCACAACAGCCCCTATTCCATCCAGACGAGTAGATACGAGTTGAGCCAGCTCAACAATTAAAGAATTTCACCTCTTTAGCGAGCAACATGAATCATAATAGAAGTGTGTGCGTGTGTGTGTGTGTGTGTGTGTGTGTGTGTGTGTGTGTGTGTGTGTGTGTGTGTGTATGTGTGTGTGTGTGTGTGTGTGTGTGTGTGTGGGTGTATTTCAAAAATCCCCAAATTCTCTCCTCAGTCCAGCGGCTCGAGCCACAAATCATCACTTGCCAAAGTTGCCCACGTTTGTGCAGTTGAGTGGCAAGTTCCCACACACCAGTCTGTCATCCGAGCGGCACACTTGCACAAATATATCATACTTTATAAAAGGGTCAAGGGCATAAGGCAAAGCACTGTCATTATTAATACTGATAATCTCAAACAACTTTCTCGTGTCACCGTCATCTCCATCACTCCATGGCTAGACAACTTCCCTTTCACTTTGTCGTCTGGGCCCTGGAGTGTATAGACCACAACACACGAATTAGTTGCACCACAACACAAAAGGCCCCACCGATCAAGAAAGCACCGACTATGCAGGTCCATGCTGCAAACGGTCTGAGAAAACTTAGAGAGCCCTCTGCGTCGGCCCACAAAGCCATCATAAATCACACCAAACTCTGCAAGATCTCCACGCAACACCAGGAGCGCTGCTGCTTAAAACACCCTGGGAGTCCCCACTTCTTCCATGTGCTGCAAAGGAGCAGGCAGCCCATGGGAATGACACCCACAGCAAACACTCATGGAGCCTCCTCGCGAAGATACCGTGGCCAGAACTCCAAACATACATTCCCACCCCGAAAGCACTTGTGGCCACCCACAGACATTCCTTCATCAAAAAGACCGCCCATGCTCTAAAGCAGAGTGTGTGTGGCGATGCGTGTGAAACACATGTACGTTTATTCCCAGCATGGTATCCAACCATGGACCATACCATCACCACACCTCAGGAGGAAACACTCACCTGAGTGATCCATCCATGTCAGAGGACCATCGTCAAAGTAATACAACCAACCGGAGCAAAAATCAGCAAGACAATCCGAACACTTGCTACCGTTTTCACCCGAACAGAACGCCTGGTCATTATAGCTGTATTTGGCACAACTTTCGGTCCAGATGCAGCGATAATGACCAGGCATTCTATTCAGGTGAAGATGGGAGGCAACAAGCAGCAAGCCAAAAGGAAGCGGGCCAAAAACACAAGCAGCACGTAGCAAGGCAAAAGGCAGGAAGGAAATGGTTTGAATAACGAGGGGGAGCAAACCATAAATGCTGGTGGGCATGGGGGGAAAGCAGGTGGGCGAACAAGCAGCACAAACCAGCAAAGGCTGCAGGGCACGGGGGAGGTGGGTGGGCAGACGAGCAGCTCGGAGCAAGGCAAACCGCGCAAGGCAGCAAAGCACGTAGGCTGGAGGGCATGGGGGAGGCGGGTGGGCAGCCAAGCAAATACGGTGGAAGGCATGGGACCGATTGGTGGGCAAACAAACAGCACAAGGCAGGAGAGCACATAGGGTGGAAGACATGAGGGGTGAGCAGGCCAACAGCACAAGGCAGCAAGGGAAACAACAGCGAGCCAAACAGCAGCAACCAAAAGAAATACAAGTGTATGACAACAAGAAAAAGACCGAACAAAAGTAAGAACTGATGAAGATTGTTTCGTAAGAGTTGCACCGACTCATCAGGAGGCTGAACCCCAATAGTCTGCCCAGCATGTATTTGACTGATGGATAAGGACTCAGCCCAGAGTTAGTTATACGCCTGAGTATGTGTGTGTGTGTGTGTGTGTGTGTGTGTGTGTGTGTGTGTGTGTGTGTGTGTGTGTGTGTGTGTTTCTCTTGTG